TCTCCACTTAACAAGTCTAAAATCAAATTCCCCAATTATTTCTTTTAACCTCCTTCTGCCACAGATAACCCACCCTTCCAGCTGCTCAGGCCTAAAACCTGGGTTCATCCTTGATTCTACTCTTTCTTATTACTCCCCTTATCCAATCCATCAGCAAATTCTGTTGATTATACCTTCAAAATATATCCAGAATCTAACTATCCCTCCTTCTCTATCTTGAACCAATCTTCCATCATCTTTACCCTGGATTGTTTCAATATCTTCCTGACTAATCCCCCTCATCTACCACTGCACTCCAACAGTTTACTTTCAACTCTGCAGCCAAAGTGATCATTCTAAAACATAAGTCAGATCCCATCACTCCTCTGCTCAAAACTGTCCAATGGTTCCCCTTGTCACTCCATGTAAAAACCAAAGTCCTTAAAATGCCTACAAGGCCTCCCAAAGGGCTCTTCCCTCCCACTCTCAGCTCACTAGCCTCCTCCAGCCAAATAAGCCTGCTTTAAAACAAAACAAAACAAAACAAAACTCGTTGCTGGCAAGTTGATTCTGGCTCATAGTAACCCTTTAAGACAAAGTAGAACTGCCCCACAGGGTTTCCAAGGAGCACCTGGTGGATTCAAACTGCAGACTTTTTAGTTGGCAGCCATAGCTCTTAACCACTACCCCACCAGGGTCTTGTTGCAACTCCTCAAACATACAGGGCACCGTCCAGTTTTGAGGTCTTTGCATTTGTTCTCACCATCTGGAACATTCTTCTCCCAGATATGTGCCTGGTTCAGGCCTTCTCCTTCAGGTCTCTGCTCAAATGTCCACTTACCCATGATGCCTTCCATAACCACTCTATATTTTTCTCCGTAACACTGATCACCATCTGACATATTATATATTTTTTTACTTGTTTATTGATTGTCTTGCCCGCTAGAAGTAAGCTACAAGAAGGTAGGGGTTTTTATTAGTTTTACTCGGTGATATATTCATCATTCCTTGGACAATACCTGGCACATGATGAGTACTTGAAAATATTTCTTGAATAAATAAATGCATGACCAAAACTTTCTGATATGTTTCAGGACATGGACTAGCCGGAGTCCTAAACCATAGGCAAGCTGAGTTTGTGATGCCTGCTGATGAGTTACAACATGCTTGTCCAACCAGAATAAAATCTCTTATTAAAGAGTTACAAGGCTATGAGTTTATATTAACATGGAAAATTGAGGCCATGTGGAATGTGTTGTCAACTATATATGTATATAGATATAGACATTGGGGCCTTTTTTCAGTGGTTGTGACCTGCCTCTAGCCTGTCCTTACTCTATCCACTCATAGGGGTGTTTTTCAAAAAGCATGTCAGGATTAGGAATGCAGTCAGTGGAACAGAACTTTCCCCAGCAGACAAGGGCTAAGCAAGGATCGATTACAGCGAAACCGGTAAGAGCTAAACTCCACAGGACTGCCTTGTTTTTTCGAGACTCACAAGTTTTCTGCCTTTGACAGGGGGCAGTCTTACCACTTTTCTAGGGCTCATTTTAGTGGAAAATTTTTAAATTTCCCTTCTCTGACAGGTTTCCGCCTTACAGTTTCTGGCTTTTGCAGGTTTTACTGTATCTATTTGCTCTTTGGAGCCCTGATGGCACAGTGGTTAAGAGCTCGGCTGCTAACCAAAAGATTAGCAGTTCAAATCTACCAGCCGCTCCTTGGAAACCCTATGGGGCAGTTCTACTCTGTCCTATAGGGTCACTATGAGTCAGAATCGACTAGGCAGCAACAGGTTTTGGTATGTGCTCTTTAACAGAATTTTCTAAACCAAGCGGCAGCTAGAAATTTAAAGAGGTAGGGAGGACCAGACCTATCTTTCCAGTATTTTTGTATAATGTATTACAAAGTTCAAGCAAGAACCTTTTTAACCAAATTCTCCAGATAAATTAATCCATCTTCCACTTTACTAAAACTTGCTGAGGGAACCAACACAAGTCTTTTACGAAAACACTCCGAGCAAAGGAAATCAGAAGAGAGTTAGAGATGCAGAATTAAAAAGAAAAATGTATCCAAATGTGAAGCAAAAGAATGAAGAGGAAGATAATACTCAAGAATAGTAAGGTATGTGTTGAATAGGGAGTTTGTATTTCTACTTTGTAAGCAGGAAGAACATAGTAGAAGTAGTAGCTCAGTGTCCAGTGTGCCAGGGATGTTGGTAGAGGGAGAAGTATGGTCAAAGTGGCAGGTAAAAGTATACTGATGAATTGGGGAGCAACACCTTCTATTCCTTGTTCTGTACCCTGTGGCTTCCAAAGAAACGCTAGTACAGAAGACATCAACCTAGCCCACTTTGCCACTGGATGAGTTACCATGTAGGATGCCCTCTCATTAAGCCATGGCTCCGTGGCTCTCATACAGCCTCCAACCAAGGCTGGATTTGGCCCCTTCAGCTTGAACTAGGTGAGGAAAGAGGAAGATTCAACAGCCTGAACCTTGTTCAGCTTCCAGCGCGTGCAAGTGAGAGGTTGGGGCATGAGACGGTGGTCTTCTGAGAGGCCAGTCCCAAAACCATGAGGGATGCTGGCTACAGGATCCTCCATCCACGTACCCATCACAAAATCATCACATGGCTATAAGCAACATTGAAAAGAAAGAAATAACATATTTCCACCACTGTTCTAGTTCCCTTTCTCAAATTTGCTTGCTTAATTATTTTAATTTTCAAAATTTAATTCTTTATGCTCTTTCTCAACCTACAAGGAATGTATACCATGACAATTCTTTTTAAATTAAAAATCAAGACCAGAGAAAATATAAGCTAGAACTGAAAGTCTAATCCAGGGAGGAAATAAAACATGCTCATCATAGTGTTTTAAAAAGCTCTCAAAGTTAAGCAGAAAACTTGGCTTCATGTTACCTACCAGTCAAAGAAAAAAGAGAAACAGAACCAGTTCCTCAAGGGAGGCAAGCCATTTCCTAGAATTCAGATTTGCAAAAATTTATGTAGGAGATTACGAGTGTAGTGGAAAACCTCTAAAACCACATTTCTACCACGGCTATTCTTGGTAAAATCTCTTTAGAAAAATCAAGGGCATACCAGTTGCCCTTGAGTCAATTCCTACTCATGACGACCCCATGTGTGTCAGAGTAGAACTGTGCTCCAGAGAGTTTTCAAAGGCTAATTTTTTAGTGGTAGATCACCAGTCCTTTCTTCCGAGGTGCCTCTGGGTAGACTCTATCCTACAACCATTTGCATCACCCAGGAACTCTTCAGATAAAACCCCTCTATCAGAAATGAAGACAATATGGACCAGTACACATCTTTCTTATAGTTAAGCTTATCCAAGAAGTCAACTTTAACTATCTTGGGGAACAAATGAACTTTATCCCTTTATATAGTCCCCTGCATATGCCATGTCCATCTACCAAGAACAGCTAAATGTATGACTCAACAGAGGAAATTTCCTAGACTAGAGTTTTTAGGTTCTTCTTCTCCCCCTACTATTTCATGATTGTTGCTATTGTTGTTTTAATCTATTCCTACTGCAAGGAAATATAGTATGCAGGTCTTTTATTTTTATTGAGTTAATACTTTCCAAGTGCTAAGGATAGTGTCTGGCAAGCAAGTGCTATATAAGTTTGTTTCCTGTTTGTTTTAAGGCACTTCATTTCACTAGGGGAAAGGACGTCAAGTATAAATAACAATTGTAAATAAATAAAATAAGTTAATTGGAATTTTATACCTTTTTTGTAACCTTCACCCATTTTCATTATTTTTCCTAAAGTAGCCATACTGAGTAAAAGCCCTTGACTATTATGATGTGACAACGTGACATGAAAAAGCTGGTGAAGGGGGAACATAGAGGATGATTCAAAGGCTTTGAAACACTCAGAAATATCAGAGCCTTTTAAAACTTCCTTTCCGGATGAACAGCTGGAACTTCGGAATTCCTTACTACCCTTCCTTCCAACCATCTCTTACATTTTAAGATCTCTGTTCATGGACTGTGTCTAATATGTCGTTTGGTACATTATGGGCATTCAATAATGCTCCATAATAACAATGAGAAAAACACTACAAAGCATCATTGTCACATTTACTTGTGACCCCGTCCCTTTTCCTTAATCCTGTAAAGTGATTTTAAAACGCCAGCACATTAAGATAAAAGCTGAATATATTCTGCAAAAATACATAAAACAGATCTCCTACGTTTAAGAACAAATAATCCACACTTACAGTTAACGTATTTGTCTCAACAACAGCAGATGTTCAATAATATGACCAGAAAGTAATTGTCAGCTTGGTGGAAAATGACCAGGAAGATTATGGCCAACAGACAGTTACAACCTGGGCCCAACTCAGATGAAATCTCCTCTCCTGCCACTGGGATGATTCTCCTGCTCTTTTGTCCCTTGACCCTTCTCTCCTGCACTCACCATCCGTGTCAGACTTGAGATAAAATATTTAGCAAAGTAAAACAACTGGTTTTACATAGAAAAGTCTGTAAGTTTATCTGAGTCAAGTTCATGAATCAGGTCCTTTTACTAGAAAGCAGGAGGGGACAGGAAGGCTCATGATAGGGAACCCAAGATCGAGAAGGGGAGGGTATTGACATGTCGTGGGGCTGGTAACCAATGTCACAAAACAACGTGTGTCCTAACAACATGTGAGAAACTAGTTTGTTCTGTAAACCTTCGTATAAAGCACAATAATAAAACATAAAAGTAGCACAAACCTTAAAAATAAAAAAGAAGAATCAGGTCCTTTTTTTTTTTTTTTTTTTGCTTGAATTTCATACTTCAGATACCTACTTTTCCCATGATTTATCTAGCTTTGGATGCTATCACAATCAGGCTTTGAAAGTGTTTTTTTTAAACATTAGACAAACACTCGCAAAAGGATAAAATACTATTTTAAGGCCACGTTCACACAATCTGCAGTGCCACCTACTTTCCGCGTGGAGATTTCTAGCTGGTGTCAGAGGACGCGCCTCTCAAGGTGTTCCTGCAAGCAAACCTACCCGCTTGCTGCTCTCCTCCTCTTGGGCCTTCCTGAACTCGTGCTCCAGGGAACAGTCCAGCTCGTTGAAGAGGCCCACTTCCTCACAATTTTTCAGGAATCTCGTTGGAGTCGGAGTCTGATCTGAAAACAGAGACCCAATGATCATAAATGGGATCTTTTGCTCAAAGTCAGTGGCAAACACAAACTAAATTTACTAATCCGCTCCCCTTGCCTTTAATTAAGATGCTGACTAGCCATCCAAGGAGGCTTGATGGCATAATAGTTAAGCATTTGGTTGCTAACCAAAAGGTTTGCGGTTTGAACCCACCAGCTGCTCCACAGAAGAAAAGACTTGCTCCCATAAAAATTACAGTCTTGGAAACCCTATGGGGCACTTCTGCCCTGTTCTATACGGTCGCTATAAGTTGGAATCAACTTGACAGTACACAACAACAGCTAGCCATCCACACCCAAGCCTTTAGATAAAGCAAGAATATGGAAGAAGATAAAACGGTAAATTCCAAAGGAGGAATACAATTTGTAGAAGGCTGTAGTAGCTGAGAACCTTCCAAGTCTCCCCCTGGACTGAAGTTCAGGAGGTCTTCCCAGACACTTTCTGGGGCCTGTACCTTTTGAAAACACTTTGCAACATGTGAAATGGCCTTTAAAAAAAAAAACTGGAAAAAAAATGATTGAGCTAAAAGCAGTCAATAAAAAAATCTGATAAACCGATTTAAGCCTGATTTTAGGGGACTTGAAAGAAAAAGATTTTGTAAAATTGTATATCATACAAAAAGAAACAAATAAGCATGTTAATTCCATTTTGTTACTGGACAAGAAAAATTTAGAATTCCATCTTTTATTCTCACCATCACACAAGGATGATAAAAGGATCCATATCGAACACCATCAGCTTTCATTATTTCTATTTTTTCCCTTGCTATAGTCAAAAGAATGTTCAGAGAATGCTCTTTAAAAATCATAGAATTTCTTTCATATTCCTGACTTTCCAGAGAACTTATTACATAGAAAATTAGAGGATCTAAAACCACTATTTGTGGCTTAAATTTATGCAGCATTTTTTAGTTTACAAAATTTTTTTCACACGTTCTCCAGAATCTAGATCTCACAAAATCCTATGAGATGAGTAGGGCAGAATTACAGCTTCATAATCATTAAGGACAGTTATCTTCCTTGATAAAATGTACTTGAGTTGACAGAGATAAAAATTATACTTTATTTTTAAACACAAATAAATCAATCATTGTCTTAGAATTTAAAACACTGTGTAAACTGCCCTTTTCTCAGAAACAAAGGATATAGGAGCCAGAAAAGACCCTGGAGGGAAGCCTGGCCACAGGAATTATTTTGCAAATGAGGGGAAAAGTGCCGGGTGATTAAGGGTCTTCCTTAAGGTCTCCCAGGTAGATGGTGGTGACACCAGGATTATAACAAAGCGTCAGTGCTATTTCCACTATCTCAGATATTATTCCTATCTTGGTCTATAACCAAAAACCAAAAAAACCAAACCAGTTGCTGTCGAGTCTATTTCGATTAGAACTGCCCCATAGGGTTTCCAAGGAGCACCTGGTGGATTCGAACTGCCCACCTTTTGGAAAGCAGCCGTAGCTCTCAACCACTGCACCACCTAGCTTGATCTAGACACAACCTCAAAACCTCTTTCCACACAGGACTGTAAGCCATCATCTCCAGTCAACCAGAGGGTGCTTTCAAGTTGAAACTAATTTTCCATTCCTGCACTTTCTTTATAAATTCCTCTATTAACAAGAAGCTAGAATTATATGTATTTTTCCAGGTCATACAGTAAATTGCTCCCAGTAAATTGTCCACTGAGATCCAAAGAATATCTTAATATCCATGAAGGTCAGAATGGCTTGATATCCCCATTTAATCTGCTCTTCAGAGGCAATGTTCTCTTGATTCCCTTATGAGCACCAAAATGGTTAACTTGGATTCCAGCCCAGCAAAATCCCCCTCTGCATTCTTCCTCACCATTAGCCTGTTCCCCAAAACACTGAGCTTTCTTTGCAGTACACAGAGAAACTACCACCAAAAAACCAAACCAAATCCATTGCTGTCAAGTCAATTCTGACCCATAGCGACCCTATAGGCGAGAGCAGAACTGCCCCATAGGGTTTCCAAGGCTGTAAATCTTTACAGAAGCAGACTGCCATATCTTTCTCCTGTGGAGTGGCTGATGGGTTTGAACCGCTAATCTTTCAGTTAGCAACTGAACCCTTAACTACTGCACCACCAGGGTTCCTAGAACTTACCACAGACCGTCATAATTTGGGAATAATAAATAAGATGTATGCAAGGAATTGGATTTAGTTGAAAATTGTTTTATTAGTTCATCAATTGATTTCTCAATATTTACATATACATACATATATCCTATATACGTATATAAATGACAAAATTAATATTTATGCAGGCTTTGCATTATACAAACATTTTCATACACTTAGTCTGGAATCTAGATCTTACAAATCCTCTGAGGTAAATAGGGTGGATATGATTTTAGAAATGGGGAAATAATCTGAGCAATGTTAAGTGCCTTGCACATAGTCACAGGATTTGTAACCATTTTTTCACTACTAGTTCCTGGATGCTGCAAACAGTTAATGTGGTTGGCTGCTAACTGAAAGGTTGGCGGTTCCAGTCTACCCAGAGACACCACAGAAGAAAGGCCTGATGATCTACTTCTGAAAAAAGCAGTCACTGAAAACCCTATGGAGCACAGTTCTACTCTAACACCCATGAGGTCACCATGAGTCGAAATCGACTTAGCAGCTACTGATGGCTTATTTGGTCTTTTTTGTTTGTTTGTTTTTGAGTCCTGCTTTACCTTCAGACATGATCGCTTCTCAGTCTAAAACCAGTAGTCTCCTCTGACTTTCCTGACATGTTCGAAGAGCTCTGTAGTATGTGTAACAGATAACCGACAACACTGAAATCTAGATTTGAAAATAGTGTGATTTAGGGCAAGTTGCCTACATTCTCTGAGCCTCACATTCCTCATTTTTCAAATAGAAGTTCTAAAGTTATAGGATTCTGTGGGTCCTAAATCACTACTGTAATGGTTTGACTTCAAAAGTCACTGTAGCGAAAGAAATACATGACCATTTAAATGACAGCTAAATGGGACATCAGTAACAGCTGGAGGTTAGACACTAGCAATTAGGTCAGAGGTGAGGGCTAGATATACAGAAAAAGGAAACTTCTGGGTAGAGTTGATCGTTAAGCTGTGAGAATGGACGAGTCTTCTGCACAGAAGGTGTAAATAGACAAGACCCAAGAGTGGAAATAAAAGGATGTGTATGTGTGTGTTCCCAATCTTCCATTTACTGAGAGCTTTCTCATGGCACACATGGTGCGCTAAGTGCTTTATATATGTACACCATCTCATCAATTCTCACACCAACAATATTAGGTAAAATTTATTTTCCCTATTTGACTTAAGAGGAAACTAAAACTCACTCCAAGAAATTGAGCAACATAATTTTATTGGTAATTGACAATCCTAAAAATCCTTGGTTCATTTCTGTTCCTCATACAATAGAATTGCACGATGATCGTACGGACTCTACTATCTTGCAGAAACAATTTTGCCATTGAAAGATCTCAGAAAACATTACATGTTGTTGTTGTCCCGTGCCATCGAGTTGATTCCAACTTACAGAGACCCCATGTGTTACAGAGTAGAACTGCTCCATAGGGTTTTCTTGGCTCTAATCTTTATAGAAGCTGATCACCAGGCCTTTCCTTCCATAGTTCCAATGGATGGGTTCAAACTGCCAACCTTTCGGTTACCAGCCAAATGCAAACTATTTCTGCCACCCAGGGACCTGCTTAGCAAAACTGAAATAATAGACTACTTGTCATCATTAGAAATGAATATAAGTTTTAATTTCCTTTTATTTCTCTATAATTCTTTCTTAGTTATCTAGTGCTGCTATAACAGAAATACCACACGTGGATGGCTTTAACAAAGAGAAATTTATTCTTTCACAGTCTAGGAGGCTAGAAGTCCAAATTCAGGGCACCAGCTCCAGCAGAAGGCTTTCTCTGTCAGCTCTGGAAGAAGGTCCTTGTCCTCAGTCTTCCTCTGGTCTAGATTTTCTGAGCAGGAACCTCAGGTCCAAATGATGCACTCTGCTCCTGCACTGCTTTCTTGGTGGTATGAGGTCCCACTGTCTCTCTGCTCACTTCTCTCTTTTATATCTCAAAAGAGATTGGCTCAAGACAAAAGCCAATCTTGTAGATTGAGTCCTGCCTCATTAACATAACTGTCACCTATCCCACCTCATTAACATCATCGAGGTAGTGTTTACAACACAAAGGAAAATCACATCAGATGACAAAATGGTGGACAATCACACAATACTGGGAATCATGCCCTGCCAAATTGATATACATATTTTGGGGGGACACAATTCAATCCATGACAGCTTCTTAGTTGAAGATTTACATGTCACGGGCCATGATTTGAGGTAGAAAAAAATAGTAATTCTAGAAGGCTGTGTAAGTCTTCTGAACTCTGAAGTGAGTTCATGAAATGGTCCATGAAATAAAATTCAGGCTAGCATCTGAGGGGCAAAGCACCAAGCAAAGTTGAGAGATGTTTTCTGTCTCCTCTGAAGTAAAATTATTCCCAGATACCTGCACACACCTACATATACTAGCAGAGAGGTTGAAGGAGGTTGGCACAGGGATAATAACACTGTTCATCATCATGGGCCTATCAACAGCAACAGGGAAGCAAAGGCTATGGTCAAGGGGAGTCCTGGGCAGTAAAGACAGCTGTTCCCCTTCCCATGCCTGGAGCAGAAGACCCCAGAGAAAGCCCCAGAGCTGTTACCAAACGTGATTTTCTTTGCTGTATGATACAGTTAGGGAGAAGCAAAGCAGATACCTATATCCACATTTGGAACAGATAAGGCACACTGTTCCTAATTTTTAATTTGTTTTCTTCTAGTGAAAGAGCTATTCTTTCCAGTTACAACAGGAACCAGAAAATGGAGCTTAACTTTTGTTTTAACATTTATTAAAATTAATACTGGGTCTCTAGTTGTCTTTGATCCCACATGGTACCAGTTCCAAGTAAGCCAGGAAATGTG